AGGAATGTCTAACTAATGGAATCACTAGCTCCAGGGTATTCTGCTTTCCTGCTGTTTGATATGGTGCAGAGAGTACTGAAAGGCAGGAGGCAAGGTTGTAGATTCAGCTGTGGTGTTAAATAGCTGTGTGACTCCAGGCAGGTGGTCGCCCTTTCTGGTTCAGCCAGCAAATTGAGAATGATAAAACATGCCCTGCTACATGAGAGAATGATGATAAGGGTCAAATGAAACTTTATTGATATAAGGTACTACTTTTAAAAAATATATTTTTATTGATTTCAGAGAGGAAGGGAGAGGGAGAGAAACATCAATAATGAGAGAGAATCAAGAATCGGCAGCCTCCAGCACACCTCCATCTGGGAATTGAGCTGCAACCAGGGCATGTGCCCTGATTGGGAATCGAACCGTGACCTCTTGGTTCATAGGTTGACAGTCAACCACTGAGCAACACTCGCTGGGCAATAGAAGGTGAGACCTTCATGTCAATATTCAAGAGGAAAAAAAGCTAAGGATTGAGGGTGTTTAGCTTGGTGAGTGGGAGAAGACATTCAGTGATCAGGTTGAAGGAGGAACCACAGGCAGAGATGCCGCACCATGTCTTGGAAACTTCACGCAGTGAAGAGATGGCTTTCAAAAAGCGGAGTGGGGGAGTGGGAGATGGTCCATTGAGGTTCCACAGAGGCACGGCATCCTAGTTGCCACTGGCCATTTCAATTTCGTACCGGCCAGTGCTTTTCCTAAACCCTTCAAAGCTGCCCAGCCACTTTGGTTACCTCATCAATCTGACATTTAATCTCAGTTGAAGTAAATGTGTCTTTTGCTTATCAAATTCTCAAGTTGTTAGAAAATACAGATAAGTTGACTGGTTTGTCTGCCTGCCTGACCTTCCTGGTATCTCAGTAGTTATTTTATCTCTGTGATTCCTTAGTGTCATCCTGACCCTATCCTCCCTCCTTGCCTCCTTCACTCCCTCAACATCATCTCACAGATGCCTTCTCATTTCACAGGCTGGCTGTCGGGAACTCCATTTTCTTAGCAGGAGGTTTTTCCTTCTATTTTAAAGTGTTCCCATTGTGCTTGGCTTGCTTACAGCACTGATACTTAGTGAACAAATGGAGTGAAAGAAAGATAAGGACACTCGGTCCAGTTTTGCTTCCTTTGCCCTCTGGGGAGAAGCTGTCCCCTCCTCTAGGCAGCTCGGGAGCAGGGAAAGTAGGAGTTTCACAGCCCCCAGGTTGTTGCCAGAATGAGTTTCTAAATGAAATGTTACTTGCTCAAAGCCTGATGACTTCACTCTGTCCTTCCAGGCTCCGTGGGCCACTCGGCGCACAGGTAGATGGCTTTTGTTTGTCATGCACCATGTTGGCGTCCACAAAGTTTAAAACAACTTAAATTAGTGAGAACTTTAAAGATTGGGAGATTTTTATGAAACCCAGGGTTTTGGTTTCTCTTGGAAAATTGTTCAGTGGCAACACTGGGCACAGGAACTGGGTAGGGCTGCCCCTTAGCCAAGGCAGTGTTTTCCGGGTAGCGCAGCTACCACCCAGGCCTTGTCACTCCCTTACATTATAAAGGTAGGTACTTGTGTTTGCTCCCCCACTACAGGATCAAGTTCAGACTCCTTAACAGGTGTACAGGATCCTTCCCACCTAGGCCCCACCCCGCCTCTGCCCCTCACCTCCTGCCATGTTCCCACCGGCATTCTCACAGTAGTTATGCTACTAAATGGATAGTTGTGTGCCTGTTTGAATTGGTCTTTGAATTCAAAGACCCATTTCGCAGATCCTTCTGGGATATCCATTAACTGCAAAGTCTGTGCCTGGCCTGGCTACCATTGTCGCGTGTTTCAAGGGAGTTACCTTTTAGATTTTCATGGTGTGTTGATCCAGAGCTTCTGTGAAGGGCAGCAATCAGAGGAAGGAACAGAACAGATGGGGTCCTTTCTGTGCTTATGGTCATGTATTTGCAGACATTTCGTTCCGTGAAGTTGAGAACGTAGCAGCAAAATGATTGTTTACTTTGGTTAGAATGCCTGTTGTCAAACATTGCCCACTTTCCCAGAACTACAAGAAAATTCGCATATCAGTTACTCTCCTTATTTGTACTTCTAGACAATAAAATCAATTTGAACTGTGGAGCAGTGACTTTATTGCTGTCCACATTGAGTCCAGGAGCTTGCAGAGGAGTGGTTTTTCAGACACGGAGCATTTGTTTCTCCAGTTTCAAGAAACTGCTGTATAGGCCAGGCTTTATCTTATTGGGGCCATCACTTGTCCCAGGTTCTGTTCTGTGCTGGTACAAAACCTTGATTTCTTCAGGAGGAGTCAGGTTTTAGGAATTTGTCACCCTAGCCAAACTCATAGGTCTATTAGTAAACTAGACTATTCATTTTCTGCACGTTTATTAAACACTTATGGAATGTGTGGCCAACCTAATCTCTGGGGAAACAAAAATGAATCATAAATCCAATGTGGTTGGTCCCTGCCATTTACAGCCTATGGTGCAGAAGTGGGACAGAGAAGTAAACAAATACATTATATATAGTATGCTAAGTATAGGGTGACCTTACATCCTGGGATGCCCTGGTTTATGTCTGTTGTCCTGGTATAACTATTTATGGTGCCTCCTTTCAAAACTACCTAAGGGCCACAGTAAGTCTTTCTGGATGTTTGGGGAATAGAGATGGTAAAAAGGATGGAGAAATCAGCATGCTTTCCAAGAACCGGTGGGGAAGTTCAGGCAGTCAAGGTCAGAGAGCTGAAGGTGGAAGAAGCGGGGAGGACTGTGCCAAACTGCAGGCAAAAGGGAGATTGTTCCGGAGGAAGGAATTAGTTGGTTCAAACTAGTCATTTTCCCCAAAATTTATCCTGTGAAAATCCCCAGGACACTTGGTAAAAATACAGACTTCCAGTTCCTGCCAGCATTTTGAATGTGTGCTTTTAAAGAAGTGCCTCAGATCCGTGGTCGGCAAACTGTGGCTCTCGAGCCACATGCGGCTCTTTGGCCCCTTGAGTGTGGCTCTTCCTAAGCCTTAGGAGTACCCTAATTAAGTTAATAACAATGTACCTACCTATATAGTTTAAGTTAAAAAAATTTGGCTCTCAAAAGAAATTTCAATCGTTGTACTGTTGATATTTGGCTCTGTTGACTAATGAGTTTGCCGACCACTGCCCCTGATGATTCTTGGACATAGTAAAGGATCAGAACCAATTCTCTACCAATTATGGCTAGGGATACAAAAGGCTGGGAGTATAGGGCGGCAGAAGCAGCAAGACTAGAGTTCAAGTCACAGATCAGCCAGGCAGTGACCCGGGTAAGGAAAACCCATGGTAGAACCAGTTGGGAGGCATTTACAGTAGAGCTGTGGAAAACGGCGATGCGGAGAAATGGAAAGATTTGAGAACTATTCAGGAGGAAGAATGAACAGGACCTAGGCCGTGCCAGTCACTCATTTACATGGGATACTGTTCTTTCCAGGCAGCAAAAACACTTGTGTTAAATACAGGAACCTGGGCAACCTTATAATCGAAAGGTTTATGTGGTGTACCATAAACCTAAAAATACAGTTGGATAGTGCTGTGGCATAGTCATGTGAACCTAAAAAAAAGGACTCCTGCTTACTTCACATCTTCATAGTCTCCAAACCCTCATGACAGTTGTGTTTATCTCTGGGAGGGAAGGCGCTGGATGAATTCTATACCCATCCTGACACCCCCAACCAAAACCCTGCCCTTCTGTTATGGTGAGGCAACCCGCCACGCCCCATCTGGCATTATTTTTGCTTAAACAGTCATGATTCATCAACAAAGATTTGTCCCTAAGTTCTGGAGCTGCTCTCGCTCCGGGGGAACCTGCAGCCACCTCACAGATACACCATAACCCTGGGAATTTATAGCAGGACAAGAGCCTGGTGTTTGAGGGAGCACTGGTGAGGAGCCATCCCTACTGAATGGAAAATGAAGAGGTCCTCGGAGAGTTCCGCCTTCAATCATTACGAGGGTTTTTATTTTGAAGGCTGCCTTCGCCCAGCCCATTGGCATACTCCGGAGCAGCAAGCGAAGTCAGAAATCAAAGGCTTGGAAGTTATGAAAAGAACGCCTCAAAAGGAGGATGGGAAACCGATCGGGCTAC